CTCCACTTTCCCATCTTTCTTTAGGAGAAAGTACGCCTGGACTCCCTCCACGTAATCCTCTACTCGAATTGTGCGATTGTCTGCGAGGATTCTCAYTATGGGGTCTGTAACTTCTGGACTTTTAGCCCCAACTTCAACTTCTGCAGCGCCTTTCTACTGATATAGTTGTGCGTGGCCCCACTATCTACTAGGGCCCCTACTCTACCTTTGAAAATCCATACGTCTACTAAAACTATCTGTCCCCTACTCTCCTTCTTCATTTTGGCCCAGGCGGGCATTCTCTCCTTTAACTCATCGGTCAGGCCTGTGAGGGAAGTGCCTAGAGAGACTCTGACACAAGCAGTCTCTGGACAGCTATCTAGGCACCGACCTGCAACCTCTGCCATCGGCACATGTGGTGTGGGAATTTCTTGCCGGCTTGCGCTCGCTTCCCCACATGACCTTGTGGTAGGGGCAGTTGCTACCCGTACCGGCGGCTGCCTTTTGACCCCTGAGCAGCCGAACGGGCCTCTCTATACTTTGGACAATATTTGATGATGTGGCCAGGGTCACCGCAATATATGCACTGCCCCTGATTCACACGTTGTTGCCATAAGCGTTGGTCCAAGCCCAAGTCTTCCCCAGGCCAGCCCTGTGGCAGCCCTGGGTGCCAACCGCCTCTCCAAGAGGGTGACTTGTTTCCCCTATTCGGTGACCTATTCCCTCAATTGGGCGACCCATTCCCCGAACGGTTTTGCGGGGGACCTTGACCCCTTCCTCCCACTTGGCGGTTTCCTCCTCTACCGCCAACCCCCTGATCGCTCTGGGAACGGCCCCTTGAGGCCCAGCCCCCTTGGCGCTGGCCTCTACCTCCTCCTTGCGCCCTCCCTCCAGCCGCGACAGCAGCGTAGGTCCTCCCCTGACTAACGCTACTGTCCTCGTCCTCAAGCCCCCACTCAATCTGCTCGTAGGGGACTTCGTCTACACCACCCTCATCTAAAGTAAGGATCAAGCGATCCTTGGTCTTGACCTGTCCTGAGATGGTGCGACCTTTCCACTTTTTGCTCTTGTCTAGGTCCTTATGCCAAAAAGTGGAAATTGACATAGACCGCGCTTCAAAGGCTACCACTTCCCTGCTCAAAGCGTCATAAGTCATGGTAGGCTGCTGACTCTTCTCAAAGAAATGCCCGCGCAACTGTTCGGGCATTGCACGATAGAAGAGGTTGACCAGTTGGGTTCCAGTGACCCCATGGTCAGGGACGGCGACTAGCTCGTCCATCACACCCTTGAGTGCTCTAGCACTCTTCCACTGACGAGAGTGGATGGTTTGCAATCTATCAGAGGCTTTGACACTGCGTGAGACATCTGCGAATCGTTCATGCAATAACTGAAGGAAGTCAGTGAGGGGAGTGAACACAGAATAAGCGACTAAATCATCATTACAGTTGGCGGCGCGGCACAAGGAACGGGCGAAGCTTGCTGCTTTGTCTCAGAGGGCATGGACGGCTATAAGGACATGCTCGTCCGGGGAGACCTTCTGAAGATGTACGTAGGTCTTGACATTGGCTTCCCAATTGTCAAAATTCTCCTCTTTCTTCCCGCTGTAGGAGTCAAGGAACTTGACCTTGACAGGCTCCCTTTGGGGACGTGCTTCCTCCTCCTTGGGAGCAGCCAGTCTGGCGCCTTCTATGGCGCCTTCTATGGCGCCCGTGCAATAGCGCTCCGTGCCCTTTAGGCGGGCCTTCACCTCTGAGCCCACCTGCGTCGCTAATTCCCTTGCAAAGTCCCTGAGTCCCAGACGTATAGAGCGCAAGGCAATGTCCTGACCTCTACCAAACAGATATTGTTCTTCCTGGACCTGGGCCAGGCGCTCTATGTTTCTCGCCATGATCTCCATCTTCCCCAGTAGGTCCACCTGAGTCGCCATCGGCGCTCTCTGCTTCTTTACCTCCTCCAATTCTTTCGCCGCCTGGCTCGCCGCCTCCATTCTCCTTTTCTTCTCCCTCGTCAGTCGAAACTTCCACTCCATCCTCTTCTCATCTTCTATAGCCTGCCACTTGAGTGGGTCTTCTTCTGCATCCCACTCTCTCATGGCCGCCTCTTGTTCTTCCCTGTGCACATACTTTAGTGCCTCCTCTTCTTCTCCCAGGGATAAACCAGCAACCCACTCCGTAATCTTCTTCTCCATCTGATCTTCCTTTGTTCCACTGGATTCTCCTCTTCCTCTTGTCCTTCGCCTTTCCAGTGGCCGTTCTTCTACCTCTTCCTCCTCTTCTACTGCCTTGAGCTTCTCTGCTTCTTCTTTCTTTACCCTGGATACCCCACGCACGCAATCTGTACACAAGCGGTTATCGGGTAGCTGAAAATTCATGAATGAAAATTCTGAAGTGAGAGTTTTAGGCAGTCTGAAAATCCCGAATGCTCCTGAAGTGGTGAAAGGTCCGAAGACCCTGAAAACCACCTGTTTAGGCAGGCTGCATCCTGGAGTGGTGAAGGGTGTCCTGAAGTGGTCAAGTGAGAGTTTTGGGCAGTTTGAAAATCCTGAATGGTCCAGAAGTGGTGAAAGGTCTGAAGACCATGAAAACCACCCTTCACCACTTGAGGATGCAGTCTGCCTAAACAGATGGTTTTCAGGGTCTTCGGAGCTTCCACCACTTCAGGACCATTCAGGATTTTCAGACCTGAATGGTCCTGAAGTGGTGAAAGGTCCGAAGACCCTGAAAACCACCTGTTTCGGCAGGCTGCATCCTGAAGTGGTGAAGGGTGTCCTGAAGTGGTGATGAAAAATACGACTGTTGTTAACCTTCTCTCATTCTGTAACACACACGCATACACACCTATCATGAACTACGGCAGCTATGACCGCCAACTAACACTACCTACAAGCAGCTATGGCTGCGCTAACTCTCCTTCAGCCCACTTCGATTTTCAGGCGCATCTGCAGACCACCTCGCACAAGTCACTGTGTCAGCACTTCCGCATGGCTTCCGCAGGAATCAATGAGTAGTTGGGCGCTGCCTCTTGATTTATACTTCTGTAGCTCGTTGGTCTGGCCCTTTCCCATGCCCTGGGTACACACAGTCCCACACGGTACTTGCTTGACTGGACGAGGACTGACGGGGACTGGGACTGCTGACTCAGCACGAGTAGACTCCACCACTTGCCCACTTGCCTAGGTCTAAACATGAGCAACTTCGAAAGGCCACCACTAGGACCTTCTAGAAGTCTGGGTCCTGGCCTTTCGAAGACTGTAGCAGCTACGACCTTGACCCTTCAGGAGTCCGACAACTACATCTTCTAGGACTCCCTAAGACCTCTACCCGACATGTCTGCAGATCGAACCCTTACACCTACAAACCCTACGACAGCTTCCTAACTGCTGCGAACACACACAGGTCAGGGGTTCAACTCTCAGGGTGAACACAGATACTGTACACACATAAGGCAAGAGCTAGGGATCGAGCCCTGGGATCTGCATTCACTACTGCTAACAACTGAAAACCGTTTCAATTAATATAATAAATTACAAAATATCGGTAATAATAATACGACACTCTACGGTACTAATAAATTACAAAATATCGGTAATAATAATACGACCCACTACACGCACACACGCACACACACACACACACACACACACACACACACAAACACACACAAGCACACATCCATGAGTCAAATGCATCCTAGGCAGATTGTCGGGGTTCAACCTCTTGATAAATCAGTGAAAGGCCGATGAAACAGTCTGGCACTGTCGCGCTTTTTTGACTGTATAGCGAATATGACAGCACACACACACACACACACACACACACACACACACACACACACACACACACACACACATATTAACTTTGCTGTTAAAAAAAGGGGAATAATATATATACATATTGTTAAAATAATAAAACTTTTAATTTTTTTTCGCTTTTGAAAAAATACGCACACAGGGGATTCTTAGAGTGCTCTCGAGGCTATGGCTTCCGAAGCTGAGCGTCTTGTCCTGGCATGTTTTGGCAGCATCTAGCAGGTGCCTTTTTCAAATCGAACACGGGGGGACAACACGGGCGGAAACGACCGCGGGCAGAGCACGACAAAAATTAGCGCTACAGCTGCACTAACCGATAAAAGTAGAGCAACTCTAGTCTCACCAAGCAACAAAAATGTGGTCGGGTCGAAATTGCAAGGAACATGAGTGTGAACGAAGTACAAAAATCCAAATTGCAAATCACCTTGAAGTCCGTGTAGTCAAGCAAAGAGCAGATAGCACAATGGAACCAAGAAACCATCCATTTTGAGAACGATACAGCAAAATCGAGAGTCAATGTCCAAGCCCGAAGGGCCACACCAACATCAGAACCCAATGTAACTCTCTCTTTGAATGGCGTCGGGCGCCCTATCTACTCTACAGCCTATCCCTACAACTACAGCATGACGCGACCAGGACGACTTGAAGACCAGCGTGCTTGATGTCAACACCAATGCCGACCTCCTCTCGCACACCAGGTAAGTACTCACTCGCTCCCCTCTTCTCTTCCCTGACTCCCACTCATCGTCTCCTCCTTCCGNCAGGTAAGTACTCACTCGCTCCCCTCTTCTCTTCCCTGACTCCCACTCATCGTCTCCTCCTTCCGAAGACCACCTTCGCCCTCACCTCCTTCTGCGCCCTCCTGCAGCCTGACTATGGTTGCCAGCGCCTTGCACCCTAGCTGTGCCCTACCGCTTAGCGCCAGCCAGCTCTCTCAGCCAGAGCGCAGCGTACGCACTCTCGCTCCTATGCAGCAGCGTGCCCGCAATGCCTGCATTGGCCAAGATTCCTGCCCACTCGCACATTTTGCCTATATGCCTTGCTGTGTGTGGGCGGCCTCCCTCAACCAACTGAGGCCCTGGACTTAACTGCCTCTGCAGGAGTCTGGGCTCACGATGCACTCCAACCAACTGGCGTGCGGCAACTATCTGATACCCACTTCGTGAAATGCTGAAAGGAAGGCCTCTTGTGGATATTCGGGCCCGCCTTCACTTAGGGCGGGCACGAGGCTTGTTGGGGTCCTTAGCCCGGAACATGTGAATGTCGGCAAGGCCCTATTGAGGGCTCAATCCTCACATTCCATCCCCCTTAGCTTCGAAAGTCCGCTGAGATGCTTACTTCGCTGGTGCCTTCCCCTTTAACATCCTTTCATATTCTGCTACCACTTGAGGAGCTGTGTCAATTAGTTCCTCTCTGGTGAACCACCGATCTTCTTTCGGATCCGTATGATGCCTGAATCTGACACGATACTCTCTCTTGGGTTTTGGAGGTCTCCCTCGACCCAGTGGCTTTGGAACAGGCATGTCTTTGTGATCCACAATGTCGTCGATGTCCACGTGGCCATCCATGGTTGGGGGCAGCATTGATCTCCTTGAAGGAAATTGATCTGTCTCAGCGAAAGGTGCAAGCTTTGAGGCATGAAAGACAGGGTAAGTGAGCAGGTGTCCAGGGATTCGGATAACGTATGAGGGACCATCCAAATCAGTACCTACTACATCCAATACTTCCCAAGGACCAAAATATTGTGGCATTAGTTTTCTAGAGATGCCGAACTCCTGTCCTAGCTCACTAGCGGGGCATTAGTTTTCTAGAGATGCCGAACTCCTGTCCTAGCTTACTAGCCTTTACCCAGACAAGTTCCCCTACCTGAAATGTGGACTGTCGACGATATTTGTTCTCAGAAGCAATCATTGCTTCCTGAGATTTCTTGATGTGCTCGACAGCTTGCTACAGCAACTTCTCATACTGGACACCATATTCCATGGTTCAAGGGGTTGCAGCAGATCGGTTTTCTGGCAGGAGGAAGTCTAGAGCAGATTTAGGCTTCCATCCCAAGTGCAGCTGATTTGGACCGACGCCAGTAGTGCTGTGCACGGCATTGTTGTACAGGCTGGTGATGAGAGGCAATTTCTCATCCCAATCATCCTGGTTGGGCTTTATGTAATGCCTCAGCAGATGCTGCACAACCCGGTTCATCTGTTCGGCCTGTCCGTTGGCTTCGGGATGATTCCCTGAAGTCATCTGAAGCTGACTGCCCATCTGTTCAACAGTCTTCTTCCACAACTCACTTGTAAAGCGGACATCTCTATCACTAACGATAGTCTTAGGCAGCCCAAAGTCACGCACCCAGTTGTCCATAAACAACTTGATGACGTGCTCAGTCCTTGCTGTTTCCGGCATGGCAATCAGTCTAGCATACTTGGTGAATCTGTCTATGATGACAAAGATGTGCCTCTTGCCACTCCTGCTGGTTACCAGGGTGTCCACGAAATCCATGGAAACACTCTGTCCCGGACCAGGGGGAATGGGCAAGGGCTTCAGCAACCCAAGTGGTGCTTGAGTTCGCGGCTTGTCCCGCCGACAGACCTGACAGGTCTCCACATATTTCTTTGCGTCATCGAGCATTCCGGGCCACCAAAATCGTTGTACTAGATTGGCACTGTTTTTTTTGTAGCCAAAATGTCCAGTTGCATCATGACATTCTCCAATAAATAAACTGCGCAAATTCTCACTAGAAGGAAGAACTAATCTTTCAATCCCAGCCTTTCTTAGAAAGAGCAACCCATCCACCATCACCAACTCATCTTCTGTGGCCTTATCTTTCGCCTGCAGTTTGCGTATGATGTCCATCGTGACAGGGTCTTCCTGATAGGCTCCCACCAGCGATTGAGTTACTTCTTCAGATACGCCAAATTTGGAAACTAGCGCCCCTAGGTAGTCTGCCCTACGTGACAGCGCATCCGCAACCTTGTTGTACTCTCCCTTCAGATACTCCAACTTGAAGTCATACTGATCTATGACCTCAATCCAGCGCTTGAGTGCATCAGAAAGAGCAGGTTGAGTCTTGATCCATTTGAGGGTCTGATGGTCAGTTCTCAAATAGAAAAACTGCCCCAACAGAAAGTGCCTCCAATGGTCAAGTGCCTTGTAGAGGGCATAGAGTTCCCTTTCGTAGGTGGACTTTGCCAGTTTCTTTGATGGCATTTTCTTGCTCATATACTCAATCGGTCTCAACTTCTTCCCATCCTGCTGAGCCAGCACTGCATCAATGTTGTATTGGCTTGCGTCAATGGTCACAATGAAAGGCTTCTGAGGATCGGGCACCCTGAGAACCTCATGATTCATGAGGGCATGCTTTAATCGCTTGAAAGCAGCCTCACACTCGTCACTCCACTCCCACGGTGTGTCAAGTCGAGTGAGATCAGTCAAAGGAGAGGCGATTGTAGAGTAATTCTTCACGAAGTTCCTATAGTAACCGCACATTCCTAAGAAAGATCTAACCTCAGTAATAGTCTGAGGTCGTGGCCAGTCCCTTATACTAGCCACCTTTGCATCTTCCGGCCTAATCCCCGCCGCGGATACTTCATGACCCAAGTACAAGATCTTAGTGCGTCTGAACTCAAATTTCTCTAAGTTGACCCTATACTTGTGCTGCCGCAGGAGTGAGAGAACAATCTCTAAATGTTGTGCATGTTCCTCGACAGACTTACTGAAGACAAGAATATCGTCGAGATACACGACGACAAACTTGTCCAAGTAGTCATGGAAGATCCTATTCATGGCGTGCTGGAATGTACCCGGCGCATTGCAAAGGCCAAAGGGCATCACCACAAACTTGTACAGACCGTACCTGGTCTAAAATGCGGTTTTGTGTTGATCCTCAGGTCTTATGGCAATCTGATGGTAGCCGGATTTTAAATCTATCTTGGTATAATACTTACATCCCTGCACCCTATCCAATAGGTCGTCAATGTATGGTAGAGGCTCAGCGTTCTTCACTGTGATGGCATTGAGTCCTCTATAATCAATGCACATCCTCATCGACCCCCCCTTCTTCGGTACAAATAACACTGGTGATCCGAAGGGGGAAGTACTAGGCCGTATCCATCCCTTCTCTGTGAGCTCTTTCAGTTGTCGCCGAAGTTCGTCCAACTCGGCCGGAGCCATCCTATAGATTCATCCCTTTGGGGTTTTACTCCCTGGAATGATTTCTATGGCGTGGACAATCTCCCTATCTACGACTCCTATAGGTTCCTCAAACAGATCAGGGAACTTAGCAATGACGTGTTCGATCTCTGGGGGTGTTTTAACGGCCTCCCCTTTCTCAGAGACATACACTAGGTACATACCCTCCTCTTGGTTCTGTTTATAATAATTGTAGAACGCTGATGCGCACAAGCAGCCATAGGATTCTAGTAACCTACTAGCCTTATACTTGGCCAGTCTCACAGTCCTCCCATCAGGCAACTCATGCTTTAGCACCTTCTTGTCCCAGTCAAACTGGGGCTTGGCAACCTCAAGGTAGTACATTCCTAACATCATATCAAATGGTAAGTCGTCGCTAACCAGGAACGGAATCTTGTGATTAAGTTCCCCTCCTCCATAGGAGAAGGTGCAAACTACATCCTTGACATAGTCTGTGACAACCATGCGTTCCTTATTGGCCAAAGTAGATGCTACTAGTCTACTTAGGTGTTGCACCTGGTCCTTTAGTCGCAGCCTTTCCAAACAGTCGCGACTTATATAATTCTGGGTGGAGCCGATGTCTACGAAGGCACCGCATTTGCGACCTCCTATATCAACCTCCACTACGAAATGTTCCCCTCTAGGACCTGCACTTAGTGCCACCGAGGACTCGCGTGGATGACTATTCGACCATTCGCTTTGTAAGTCCTCTAAGGCTTGAGACAAATCCAACGTACAGAGTATGGTTTGGTCTGGATGTGTTTGCGGGGTGACTAAAGAGTCATTAGTTGTGGCCATCTCATGAAGTGGGGAGGTTATCTGTCCCACTTCACCATGAGTAGAAGCAGCTAAAACTTCCACCGGCCTCAAGTGTTTCCCGAACTGGAACTAGTCCCAGCCTGGGAAGAAGGCACCCCTCCCTTAGGGGGTATCTTCTGCGTGACCTTTGTGTTCTTGCACTTATACTGGGCGTGTCCGTATTCACTGCAGTTAATGCAAGCACCACGCACTCGGCGGTCCCGCCACACTTCCTGATCAAGACCTGCCTTAACCCAATCTGCTACTTTGGACTGATTGGAGGCGGCCTGCCCTTGACTCTTTTGATGGCCGCCTTTTCCTCGGCCACCTACCTTTACCTTGACTACTTCGGCGAGGGTGCTACCCTCGGCGATCTCCTCGTCGTCGTACTCTGAGCCGTCCATAAGGTCGGTGAGTTCCTCGATTTCAGTTTGAGTCCCATCGGACTCAACCATCATCAATCTACTACCCTTCTTTTTCCATTCCTGTGGACTCTTCTTCTTCCTCCCGTCTACTGGAGTAGGTTGAGCATTTCCTAGGGTAGCCTCCAAGTCTAAGGCCTTTCTAGAGAAGGTCTCAAAGGAATGATACTCGAGGCAAGCCTCGCTGGCCAGTAAGGTTCTGAGATTCTCGGGCAGACATCTCAGAAACATAGTCAATAAGACTTGGTCATCGTAGCGTATGCCCGGAACGACAATGAGGTTCTCTACAGTAGACGTCAACTCTCGGACAGACTTGTACCTTCGCTGCTCTAGTCTCAGCATCGCGTCAGTGGCTATTTGTGCCTGCTGCGGATTATGCCAGCGAGCTTCTACCATGTCTAAGAACTCTTTTAAAGTGAGGGTTTTACCCCAATCTGCCATGCGTCGTCCGAACCCCGCCTAGCTACTATCCCATCCAGCCATTTGGCTGCCTTACCCTCGAGGTAAGATGCAGCAGTAATCACCTCCTCCTCCTGCAACGTCCTCCTTGCCCTTACCCACATTGGAACCGTTCTCAACCAAGTGTTGAGTTCCTCGTCTTTCTTCTCTCCGGAGAAAGCAAGAGGTGGCTTCATCGGAGTCTTTGGGTACCATGGACTTTGCTGCTGTCCCTGAGGTGGAACAGATTGTTGCAACTGTGATGTAGCTCCAGCCGCTGGACCAGAAGAAGAAGAAGCAACAGTCTGTGCGGCTGCTGCAGACGTACCACTTGGCTGTGTGCCAGCTTGTACCGGAAAGGGGCCTGACATCGCCGTCAACGGCAACGGCGACTGTGCTGCTGGCCGTAATCTTGGTTGTTCTATTTCTAACGTCCAAGGTTTGGTCCAAGGAGTTCTGCATGAAGTCCAGCCTCCTGTCTACATGCGCATGCTGTGATAGTATGCTGGACCTTAATACTTTCATTGCGTCAGACATTGCTAACTGATCTAACTCCTCTAATGCAGCTTTGTCTGCCTCTAACGTATCAAGCCTGGCGGTTCTATTTCTAATCTCATTTTCTCTATCGGTAGCTTGCTTCAGTTCCCTCTCTAACCACGTGCGGATCCTCTCGACTTGTTGTAGCTCTTGAAGCTTTCTTCCGCGTGGGGTCAACGGACTGAACTGCGAGCCCGCCATTTCACTAGTACCCGTGGGCCCCGGGGGCATCCCCAACTGGGTCCCAGACGAGGATGCAGCAGAGGATGCTGCCGCGGTAGCCATTGCTGCTGCGCTGGCTGCTGCTGCTGCGTGTTCCCTAGCTGCGGCGTTTGCTGCTGCCAACGCCTGACTTGCAGCTAGTGCTGTTTCCCTGGCTGCTGCGTAAGCACGGGCTCTAACTTCGGCACGAAGCCGTCTTTCGTCTCCCGCCTGTAGGAACTGAAACACGTGCGGGACCCTACGTGATCTCGAACGTGTCAGCCTTGCATCGTCAACTCTACCCCCATCGGAGTCTGACCCGCTCATCAGCTAGGCAAACACTATCTGCACTACAATACCCTGCTGGAGTCCTACCACAGCATGTGTCTGACCGACACCTAATTTTCTAAAAATAAATGTGTCCGGCGGGTCCCCTACTTAACCGATCAAGTGGCAGCCTACAACATTCACAAAGACTGTAAACATAATTTAATTTTATCCAGATTAGTTCATTTTACAGAAGCTTTGCGTAGAACTGGCTATGGTAGTATACAAAAGTCCTAAACTAAGCTGTCTGTGAGGTGTTAGCAGTCTGTCAACCAACTAATCAAAAATTAAATTATGTTGCAGATGTATGAACAATGGAAATTGTTGTGTTTACAGTTGAGCACCAATTGGAACCTACCCTCCCCTCAATCCAACATACCGATGAGCATCAATGAGCAGCAGTGTCATAGGTGTGCAATGTCGGCCCACCCCTGTGCCCCAGGTGCATGCTTATGACCAGGCTTACGTCCGACTGATCTGGCTGATCAAGAGGCTATTTAAGGATTGCCACCAAGGTCGCTCAGGAATTATTTAACGTCGCAATCAGGACAACGATCACAACCAGTGAACAGATCGGAACCCCATCCAGAATTTTTTATAGACGGTCTGGGAGCGTCTGCATAAGCCTGTTCAGTCCGCACACCCCTCTATCAGCGCAGGAAAGAGCCCCAATGGGTTGGCATGGTGACCGTGACCCACGTGCTTCGACCAGGGCCCTTCAGAGGCACCACCCTTTCTCCTTCCAAATGCGCCACCGGGAAGATTGTCGTCTCTCAAGGTAGAGCGCTCACGACACCTCACCAAAAGAGAGGACTCTCAAGTTGGACTCACTTCCTCGCGGTAAGAAGAGATTGAGAGGGTAGATAAGGTAAGGAAACAACGTACCTGAAGATAGCTGCCCCCAACCACAGATTTCTCACCAATTGAGCTGAATGTGCATTTGAGGACCGGTCATAGCCTCGGTACCACCCACAACACAATGCAGTGCCACCTCAGCCAAATGCCACATCAGCATGCTCTCATCGACGTACATACATTCTACTGTCGCCACAGCGTCCCAAGCTGTATAGCCATCCAGCGCGCACCCCTCTACCCGGGTCACGCGCTATTTTGCCTGACGTCACAAGCACCTACTGCGAAGAAGCATCATCAACGCACCAAGTCTGTATGTCGCCAGCGCACAAGGTAAGCGGCGAATCGAACCAGCTCCGATACCAAATTGCAAGGAACATGAGTGTGAACGAAGTACAGAAATCCAAATTGCAAATCACCCTGAAGTCCATGTAGTCAAGCACAGAGCAGATAGCACATTGGAACCAAGAAACCATCCATTTTGAGAACGATGCAGCAGAATCAAGAGTCAATGTCCAAGCCCGAAGGGCCACACCAACATCAGAACCCAATGTAGCTCTCTCTTCGAATGGCGCCGGGCGCCCTATCTACTCTACAGCCTATCCCTACAACTACAGCATGATGCGACCAGGACGACTTGAAGACCAGCGTGCTTGACGCCAACACCAATGCCGACCTCCTCTCGCACACCAGGTAAGTACTCACTCGCTCCCCTCTTCTCTTCCCTGACTCCCACTCATCGTCTCCTCCTTCCGNCAGGTAAGTACTCACTCGCTCCCCTCTTCTCTTCCCTGACTCCCACTCATCGTCTCCTCCTTCCGAAGACCACCTTCGCCCTCACCTCCTTCTGCACCCTCCTGCAGCCCGGATATGGTTGCCAGCGCCTTGCACCCCAGCTGCGCCCTACCGCTTAGCGCCAGCCAGCTCTCTCAGCCAGAGCGTAGCGTAAGCACTCGCGCTCCCATGCAGCAGCGTGCCCGCAATGCCTGCATTGGCCAAGATTCCTGCCCACTCGCACATTCTGCCTATATGCCTTGCTGCGTGTGGGTGGCCTCCCTCGAGCCTGCGCCTGGGCCCAAGCCCAACACAGATGGGGCCCAGGTAGTGCAGTTGCGCCCCTTATGCCGGGGCCATCATCCAGATTCAGACCCCGTTCCAGTTTCCCATTGGTTCGCTCGGCCTCTACGACACAATGCTGCTTTTCCATAGGCCAGCGTCCAATGTGTGATGTGTCGGCCTCCCAGCCTGGTGCCCAGGGCTCAACCAACTGAGGCCCTGGGCTTAACTGCCTCTGCAGGTGGGCTCACGATGCACTCCAACCAACTGGCGTGCGGCAACTATCTGATACCCACTTCGTGAAATGCTGAAAGGAAGGCCTCTTGTGGATATTCTGGCCCGCCTTCACTTAGGGCGGGCACGAGGCTTGTTGGGGTCCTTAGCCCAGAACATGTGAATGTCGGCAAGGCCCCATTGAGGGCTCAATCCTCACAAAATTCTTTGCCAAACTAAAATTTAAAATTAAAATTAATAAAATAGTTAAAAAATAAAAAATACTTAACATTTACTTTTATTTTGAATTCATTGTTGGCCCGGCCTGGCAAGTGGTCCCGGGCCACTCTGGTCGCATAGTTCTTGGACAAAATCTGGCTGTAACTGTGGTGAGTTACATTGCAAAAAGCATGAGTATGCCCCAAGTCAAGTACGAACATCAGGCTTCATCCACCTATTTTAGCTGCAGAAGGTCCAATCTCCAAGGGAGGGAGGGAGTACTCACATTAGAACCTCTGGGGCTGAATCTGACCGTCATACAGCCGAGTAGTACAACCAGAAAAGTCTCCTGTGTGAGTATATGCCATAATGTGTAATCGTTGTGCAGATGGAATTCAACATGAGTCAGTCCCCTGTCTGGTATGAAGTTTTTTCACCTGGTCTGACCCCAAGCGATTGGCCAAACTGACGCAGAGAAACAGAAGAAGTGGTAAAAACAAAGATGCACATCGTCCTCCGTACGATACCGCAGTTGAAGGCCTAAAGGCTGCAGCGTTGCTTGATGAGCGGTGCGGACAAGTGACATGCATTCGCAAGTCGTACAACGAATACGGTGTTCTCCGCGACAGTGAGTATGGGATTGTAACGTCTGTAGTCCTTTACGATTCGTGCGTCGGCGGTAAGAATGTCTCCTCAAATCCGCGGCATGGTCACAACCCGGCACTTGCCAATGGCGGCAGCCAGACTGTGTCCTCAAGAGATCATACACGCATTGCAGGAGCTGGGAGCAAGAGAAAGAGGCACCACGAACACATATGGGGACGGCAAAGGATAAGCACGAAGCCAAGGACGCAGAGGAGGAGATCACAACCTGCCGATAGTGTATCGAACGGCAACCTCCAGATTTTGCCAGCCCTTATGGGAAGGCCCTGTGAGGGTATAGCTGGGGGTAATACCAGCAAGAGGATCATTGAGTGTAAGGAAGTGGGACCAGGTCACCCCAAGCCGCGAAGAAGGCGCCAGGCAACAGCATTTAACTGGCAGGTATGAGGTATGCCACCAGCCAGTGTTACGAACAACAAATCACCTTCAAGTTCAAAGTATGACGATTTAAACAAACCGCCAGTACATCCGAGCGGCTTTTGTGCACGAGGTGGACTTCCGCTGCGCGCCAGGCTTTGCCAAAACGCCAGCGCAGCATTTTTTTTTCCTCTCATTTCAGCTGGCGCCACCCACCATTTTGGTCCGGTTGCCCTGAGCCTCCCAAATTTTCGGATTCATCAAATCGTACTCCTCAAGTTGCCTGGGGCCATGTACTGGTGGTTCAATGCGAAATGCGGAATGAGGATTGGACGCTTCTCTCTCTAGTTCTGGAATCAATCTGAAGGGTTGTAAAGTCGCCTCAACGTCGTAGTATTCGCGGGTCTCTTTGATTCAAGGCATGCATGCAGCCTGTGCAGATTCTTCATATCGCGTTCCTTCCCCATCTTACTGGAGAAGGCACTGGCACTGGCACTGGCACTGGCACTGGCATGGATGTACAGAGAGGAAATACTAGGTTATAGTATTGATCAGGCAATGACTCCCCTGTCATGACGGTCAAATAAGGAAAGCATTGACAGCAATGAATGAAGCTGTTCTCCATGAGACATAGGTGGTACTCCCTGTCTCTGGCTAGAGAACCTGGAGCATTTTGATTCCCAGAGAGAGCATTATTAATATCCCGGTGAGCGTTGAGACTCGAGAGTTGGTTACATTTTTTTCTTCTTTAATGGAAGCATTGTAGTGATCTTAACATGCTGCAGAATCTTTATTGAGTTACCATCAATGCTGTGCTGCCACCCAGAAGCACCATAAGAAAGAAAGAAGGAAAGAAAGAAAGAAAGAAAGAAAGAAAGAAAGAAGGTAATCTTCTTTTGTGAGAGACATATGGCCGAGTGATATCACTCCGTTGGCACGACCAAATGTGGTCTGATCTACCCTTCATTCTAACTCACTGCCTGACTGAATGAGCTAAGTGTCCATGATGCAGTGCTTTGTCAGAGCCACAGAGGGTTTTCTTTTCCCCAGAAGTTGCTTGTGGTAAAACAAGCAGAGTGGAGCGCATGGAAACGTCACTCTGCATCTAGTTCAGGTTGGGTGTGAAATGCCACAGAGGATCCGAATCGGTTGAGGCTCTTCAGAGTTTGACTTGTCAGACTTCAAACGAGTGCAGTTCAGCGTGCACTGGCAAAAGGCTCGAATGCGATATCCAGTCCGATCACCTTTAGCAGCTTGAGGCCACAGGGTTTTCGATAAGGAATCTCTTGCCGGCCGCTGGTAATTCAGAATCGTCATCATGTTCCTGTCCATCTGGTCCCATCTGGATTCCAAGTGGGGTCTCTATTTCAACAGTTCATGGGTGTACCAAGCGAGCCAGACCCCTCGGTCAACAAGGAACCTCAATTTATCCTCGTATTACTCTTTTTGGCTTAGACTGCGAGGTCCTCCCTCATGCCTTGCGTGTCTACTGTGGGTTTGGTGCAGAGGTTTCGCCGTGTGTATTGCCAGTCCCAGCAGGTTAGATCGGGCATCAGAGCGCATTATGTTCGGTGGTGTCCGCATTTCTGCTCTGCAGTCCGCATTTGAGCAAGCAGTTCACCTCCCTGTGCATTTTCAGCAGCACTCTCAATCAGGCGTCAGGGACCATCACTCATATCTGGGCTTTCACATTTTGCTTCCCCTGCACAACAACATGTCAGATTCGGCATCAAATCTCATCGCAGTTGGTCATGTTTACTGATTAGCTTCCGTGTAGAATGCGGAGTCAAGCGGTGCACGATGCTGCTGCCTCCAGCTCATTTTTTTCTGAACGAGGATTGGTCGCAATCAGGGACCCCCGCAACTCCTCGGCAGTATAGTTGCAATCTTTGCAGGTCAATTTTGTCATGCTGCGCACATCTGCAGAGTGTCATTGGAGCCACAGCACGGCCTGGAGCAAAAAACGAGGGTTGCACTTGTTACAGCGACATCGAGAATCGTATGTGTCAGGACATTGAGGAAACCAGGCAGTAGTCACAGCAAGAGTTGTAGAGGTCTCAGGAGTCTTAG